GATTTACTTATATTTACCTACATCAGTGATTTTATAATATGCTAATGTTCATTATCACTTTCTTCATTACTGTCACTGCCTGATGAATGAGAAACACTAGACAACAGCTCAGCAACTGCTTCAGGGCCTGCCTGCTTTTCTGACAAGACAGGTCTTAATTTACCATCTTCCATAAACCAGCCCAGTTTGCATGGATCAGGGATTTCTGGATGAATAACGGAATCCTGGCTCCATGTATTGGCCTGCAGATGTGCATGCATTATATGCTGATATAAGGCTCCAGCAGTTGGTGGCAGCTTATCTACACCTTGATTGTTTGGCAGAGTTTTGAATCTTTTCCATCGTAAAATTGAGGCACTGTTAGCAGATACTTTCTTCGTTCAGAGAAGACTACACAAAAACTCCTTGCATCACATTCTCACATTAAATGATCCCAAGCTTGGCCAAAGCATGTAAACATGAGGTGGTGATTTCATAAACATCTTAAGGGCTGCTGTTTTCCAACACCATTTATATGCCCTGTAATAATCAGGCTCGTATCCGGGGGAGCGGTTATGGTTCGGGAGAACCCTCCTTTTCTAGCAAACCTCCCTCATTTCTGGCGAACCCCCCTCTTCAGATTTCCCAAATAAGTCCTCCAACTCACCTGGTGCACTGCAGACCCACCCAGACAAAGACCTTTTCAAACATATCTGCTTTTATAGCATTATTTAGACCCATAAAGCACAAAAATCCTAATCCCCTTGCTTTGGGGGTTTCGCCGACCCCACCGGGGCTTTGACCGTGGACCTCACGCTCAGAAAACCCCCCTTGAAAGAACCTGGCTACGGGCCTGAAAATTTTTATCACAACCAGTGATAGCATGGAAACCTGGTAGTGTCACTGCTCTTTCTGGTCCAAGATGACCGTATATTGGCTGAAGAGCCACTCTTCTTCTGGTTTCAGCGGTACCTGTCACAATTCACACGGCAAGATGTCAAAACAAACACTCCAGAGCATCCTCCAACAACAGCTGTAAGCACACAAGAAGAAGCTGATACTCTAATGATTCCCCATGGCA